TCAATTTACTAGCTGCATCAGTGGCAACGATGGGAGAAAGAAACTAGAGCCGAGAACTATTTTGTCTCATCGAAGACCTGTCAGCTCACCTCCTCTTGTTCGTAGCTGCCAAGGAAATGCTTCATGCCGAAGGATTGGTGGTGAATACCTTAGAAGCGACTTTGGTGGATCTGGTTCTGTATATTCATTTTATGCATTCCAATGATGTGCAGATTTAACGAAGAGATATTGTGACAAGCTTCAAAATCCCAAAGCTACTGGCTTTGAATTTGTTGACAGACACTCTCATCCATGTTACGAAAACAATTTTACACTCTGGATAGTACGTTTCCACCCCACTCCAAATCGAATTTCTAGAAGTCGAGTGTTGCTAAAATCCTTATTTAGCACCACTCGACATTTTTATCTTAATTTTTACTTTTGTGCATCTTTAAGTTAACAGTCTTCGAAATAGTTAGGGGTCGCATTCACTGGTCAAACAATGGCTTGATGTCAACTACTGGAAGCGGTTGATTTATTCACAATGTGGTACATAACTCTTCTTGTGTGACAGCTTTGCTTCTTTCAACAGTTCTTCGCCTCTGTTTCAAGGGAAGACTATCTGGTATTTCGAGTCGGATTTTTGTCTGTAAGTGTCCTTCATCCTCTAGCTTTCTTTTTCATTGATTTTACGCAGGACCGTATGTACCCTTGACCTGCCGAAGATAATATATTTAGGTGGTAAACTGACAAATTTTAGTATGTTTTTGCTATCAGAGTCACCAACTGACCGAATCTTTCAACTTCCGTGATTATGTTATTCGATCCATGGAGGTAGACTTCAGATCTGTTATCGAAATCAGGTCAGTGTAGTTCCTCGGTTTGTTGCAGTATCGATGATTAGTATATGTAGGAGGTTTAGAAAAGCGACTTGAAAAAACCATAATTCAGGTGAAGTCACTGTAGCAGTTGTGTGGCATTTTTCTTTTCTGGATTTGAAACAATTTACGGCACATGCTCCATAGTAATTCTTCTTTGACTGTGAAACAGCTGGTGGCTTTGGGCCTTTGTGATCCTCTTTCTGCTCTTTAATGTTTATGGTAAGCCTCTTGCGTTGGTGACAAAGTTACAAATGCAAGTCGTGTTGATTATGATTGTACAGTTCAGCGCATGAAGTTTGTTCTGTTTGTAGTTAAAATTCTTAGCACGAGCCTTTGGATGTTGCCAACCGCTTGGATATGAATATCTTGATCTTTCTCCAATGTTTGCCAAGTGCAGCAGCAGTGTAATGAAATAGCCTTTCAGCAGTAAACTAGCATTGCATTTGAACTCCTGCATGAGGTCATAATTGAGCATAAACGGCAGGTTTTGATTTTTATTTCGTTCCCTTCAAATGTGGATGGTACTGTCATGCAGTGGAAACTATGTGACTCGCAGGTTGACTAAACTATTCCCCCATGACCTGTGATGGAATCTTAGCATCGTTTGTACCTTTTCTTCCAACTTGTATGAGTGTTTTTTTGGTACCTTGATTTTGCTAAGCTGATTTTGGTAGAGCTGAAAATGATTCGGCTGAGCAAATGTTACTCTTTGCTTTTGCAGATGCATTTTTGGAGGTCCTTGGTGAGGGTTTGGCAGCCCCTTTCAGGACAAGTGAGCACTAAAGTTCTAGTCTGAACTTCACATTTTTGGATTTGTATTTTGCTAAGTAGTTTTGGACTTTTTTCCCAATCTTGATGGAGTCTATTGAACCTCCTTCTAAGCGACTCCGCAAAACTCCATTCCAGCAAAAACATCTATTACAGTATGGTCTCTGTATAGCAAGTCGTGATGCTAGAACTTTTGAAGTGGTGGCAGTTAGGTGTAGATTCTGTGTATGTTTCGGACGCGAAGAACTTGTTAAAAAATCCTCTACATCTTGGACATTTGAGGGGCCTCCTTTCAGGACAGACAACTACATGCAGCATCTTCGCATCAATCATCAGGTGAGGTGGAGGGAGTATCAGAAGCTTTCCACTGAAGATAAGTACAAATATTTTGCTGTTTCTATTAAACATGCTGAAACTATTTGTCATTTCATGGAAAATAAGTCTGACATGAGCACTTTTATAATCAGATGTTCAATTGTTGATGTGATTATAGGAGACATGCTATGGAATGAAAATGATTTGTATGGTCAATCACGAGCAAATGCAATGTCACTCTTTAAACTAACTGATGATGGGAATTATTGTATTCAAATTAGCCAGAAAAAACAGTTTGAGCTGGTAATTCGTTTTGTTGCACGAGGAATGTCCTTCTCAATGGCTGCTGATGCAGTTCAGGATGCGAAAGAGGTCTGTGATATTCCTAAACTTGGATTTTGTAGTGAATCTCTTGTTGCTTCTTATGTTACAACCACATGCGCTATATCTATTGAAAATATTGCTCAGATACTACACTCGGCCTGGACTTTTTCTGTAGCCTTTGATGCCTCTTGTGACCTACAAGGAGTTTCTTGGATAGATGTTCGAATTCGGTTTTATCAAAATTCTTCTATTGAAAATCTGCACCTTATCACACTTCCTTTTTCTGGTAGAGATACAGGATTGGCTATGTTTGAGATGTTTTGCAAGTTGTTTGATGCAGTTTGTCCCTTATGGAAAGACAAGCTAATTGGGTGTTCAACTGATGGTGCTACAAATATGATATGACATTTATCTGGAGTTGTGACACGTATTCAGGAAGTAGTTAGACCAAATTTCATTAGTGTATGGTGTTTGCTGCATCAGATAAATATTGTGATGCAAAAGATATATAAAAATGCTGGCTGTGGATTTCAGAAGACTCTAACCTCACTGATTTCTGTTTTACGACGTCAGAAAATTTTGATAGATGAAATGCAAGCTATTTGTCCAAATTTATCTACTACTCGTTGGGCCTCTATGTCACGTGTATCTCGTTTTTTGGTCAAAAGAAGATCTGAAATCATGGCTTATTTTGAACAGAGTGATGTTTCTCAAAGAATTCGTGACATGCCTTCATTATCTTGGTGGATTATGGTTGCAGTTGTAAGTGAGCTTTCAGGGCATGTAAGTCAGTTTGTGGAAGGTTTACAAGGAAGAAGAACTACTTTGCAACACCAAAAGTTGGTTCTTCAAGATCTGCTTACTAACTTATAGCGTTTTGCATGTGTAGAGCGAGTTGGGATTGAATTAAACTCATCTCCAGCGTTTGACATTGTAACCTTGGACAGATGGGAAGTTAGTCATGCCAATCTGATTGGGTTAATCGAAGATCAAGGTCTGTTTGCTACCCAAGCATTGGCAGAGATGGACACAAACTCAAAAAGTGAAGTGTTGCATGCAGTTGGCAGCCTGTTTTTGGAAGCAGTTTGTAATTTGAGCAAGGTAGAAGCTACACGTGATGAGTTGAACCAGGCAGCTTCTAGTATTTTGCCACCTTGCTTGCCTCAGGAACTCGTAGCTATGAAGACACGAGAAATTGTTCAGTTAGTTCTTAAATATCAAGATCGTCTCCAAGTTTCTCGGGAACAAGAGGACATAGATAAAATAGTGGAAGAACACAAAGAGCTTCTGGTTTTTGTACACAGAGAGCATTGTCTTCGAAATGCTTTGAGTAGGTTGACTGAGCAGTCTGATTTTTGTGAAGCTTGGAGTACTCCGAATATTAGGAACAGGTTTCCTCGACTTATGGAATTTGTAGGAGGATTAGCTTGTCCATTTCCTAATACTGCAACGGTAGAAAGTGATTTTTCAGTTTTGAAATGGGAGAAAGATATTCATAGGTCCAATATAACTCCCATTTCTCTTGAAGGTATATTACACTGTCGTCAAATTCGAAGTTTATTAAAGAAAACATGACAGATTTATGTCATGTTCTGTATGTTCCTTATTTTGTTCTGAAAATGTTCCTTATTTTGACGAGATACAGAACATAAGGAATTCGCCCTATATAGAGAGGCCTGGCCATCAGGTGGGCGTCCTTACTCGAGAGATTCGGTCAACGAGAAGAGGCCAGCCACTCTGGCTGTCCTCTCCTCGTTGACCAAAACTCTCATCTCCTCGTCCTCGGCATGATTAGAGTGCATGCACTCCATTTCCAAAATCCGATTGAATCAAAAAAGTGGAATCCCGGGCTCCTATCAATTAGCTCGAAAGCTATGGGCACTATGAGGGCTCCGATCAATTAGCTCGAAATCGATGGGCACTATGAGTTCGTAGTTCATAGCCATGTGTGAGAAAGGTACGTGCACCATCATGAGTATGAAGCACTCACGTTGTGGTTTTGCTGAGACTTCATAGTCCTACCCAAAATAACCCCAGATCTTATTGGAACATCAGTGAAGGTGGGCTGCAAGGGCCGTTGATAGGTTCCATAGGGTAAATTGAAACCTGTTGGGTCACATCAAATGTTTTGAGTTTCTCCTGTCCCATCAAGTAATTTCCTCCGAAAAAGTAGCCTCCCTGTCAACTGAATTCATTGTTTAGTGGATTTTTTAACCCTTAGAACCTTGCATTATGTGGAGTGGAACCAAGTAGAAAATGGTTCTTTCATTTGAAGGGAAAGTAGACTCCCTGTGAACTTAAGTTCTTAATGGATTTTTTAAGCATTCGAACCCTTGCCTTATGTGGAGTGGAACCACTTAGATCGATGGCTAAAGCACACAGGGCCTACACATCCGCATAGTCCCTCCGTAGTACCCCTATTCATTGACCGAATAGAAGGTCAACAGTCCTCTCTTTGGAATTTAGTAGTTCCGAGACTCTGGACTTTCGTACCGTGATTATTTCGCTTTCGGTCTTTGAAATATGATTTTCTCGTTGTGCGAATCTCTACGTACGTGGAAGGGCATTTGCAGCCCATGAAAGGAATCTTCATGGCAATGAACGAAACGAAATAAAAGGAGGAATCACAGATGCCTGAAGCATACGTAAGAGCTGGAGGGAGGGCCGAGCGTATCTACAAGGACGTATGGGACCGACACAATGGGAGTTATTCTGAGATCCAAGCACACGTTTGGGTAACGAAAGAAAAAACTGTACATTCTTGACAATCGAGTTTCCAAGCATCTGCCCGATAATACAGCAAGTTCGGAGTTGTGTTGTTTGTATGTACAGCTAAGTATTGAGAATGGAGAGGGGAATGTGTGATGCTCTCGCTCGATGAGAACAGTGGGAGGATGTAGTCAGTGTCTCAATGGTAGGCCCTTGAGTTCACGAAGGAACTGTGGCCACTGCCATGGGAGCCTTGAGGGGAGGAGGCGTGCATGAGGCCTAGAGGCTGCAGCATTTTGGAATTGGAGGGGTCCGGAATCCACTGCAGCTTGCTCATGTTGGGGTTCTCTACAAAAATCATGGTGAAGTGGCCGATCTTCTCCAGCAGGCCCTTCTGCCCTGCTCTCAGAAGCATGTTGTGGTTGTAGTAGGAAAACATTCCATTTGTGAGGCGGATGATGTCACTGGGCTGGAAGGCATCGCATTCGGGGCCCCACAGCTGCAGATGGACAGCTGCAGTGGAATCGGCCACCAAAGCCACGCACACAGCTTGGCCTGATGCTTCGGAGCTTCGGGAAGTTTGGCCTTTCTCGAGGATTATGAATGTTGTGTTCACAGTGCTGCTCACGGAAGGTCTCAAGTCGCACAGCCTCACCGACGACGGTGCTTGCTGTGGGGGTAGGCCTTGGTGCTGATGCTGATGGTGATGCTGTTGTGTCCGTGCACCTGCTGCAGATTGCGGCATCATCATCATGTACTTGCACCTCGCCCACTTGTCACCGACTCAATGGCTTGTTGTTTTAGAACCTCGACCCCATCTCTACGCCGTGCTTTCACATAATTTACAGCACAACCCTCGCACACCCTTGCTGCCTTACTACTCTCGCCCACTTGTCATTCGCTCACTCGCTCACTCCCTCAATGACTTGTTGATTTCAAGCCTCGACCTCTCTCGAAGGCGTGCTTTCACATAATTTACAACACGACCTCGCCCTCGCTCTTGCACATTCACACTCCCTCACTCTCTTTCTCTTTCTCTTGCCGACTGACAGACAGACTGACTATACACGAAACCGAAATGTTGCCACAATCCTTTGCCTAGCTACAACTATTGGAGTGCTGGAGGCTGAACTTCAACTTCGTGTTTCATGCATGTTCACGAATGAGTCCTTGATTGTTCGTGAACTCGAGTTGAGTGCCCATCATATGATCCAACTACCTAGAATGCAAAACCCTTAAAGTCACGTCCCCGCTGCAACAAGTGTCAACCAATTTCCTCCTCCTCTGCATCAAATCAGCTTTTTCCATCCATCGTCTCTCCGTGTCCTCTGTTCTCACAAGCGCGCGCACCACAACAAATGTGGGCCTGGTTCCTTGCGGCTCAGCCGTTGCATGCTTTGCGAATGAATGAATGGTCCCTTGCTCTCGCTTCCTGTAACAAGGTCTCCGAGTTTCTCTGGACCGACTGGTCTTTGTCTCAATTTCTCTCTCTCTCTCTCTCCCGCACTACTGACTCTCACTCACCGTCGCACTCACAGCAGCTTCAAAGCGCTGTAATTAAGCTACGCGCCGCCAACTATTTCGAAGTCAAAACATGCCTCTCTTGTCATGTCATCATCCTCGTCGTCGACGGGAGGGGGCAACATCGATGTCAAGGTCTGGGGGCCGGAATCTCACATGCCGTACATGGACAGCATGTAATTGCATCGGCCGCCCTTGGCGCTCTCGTCGTCCTCCAGGCCTGATGATGGCGGAGCGACGTCTTGTGTGTGCGTGGCGAGGTGATGATACTGAAGGTCCGAGTAGCGAGCCTTTTTAAGCAGGCGCGAGAAGTCGAGCAGCGGGTTGCGCAGGAATGAGATCAGCGGCACGTCCGGCCTCTGCACGCTCAGAGCTCGTGCCGCCGCAGCGTACAGCGTTGCAGGATCGTTCGCGCCGAAGTCGTGTGGTCGCTTCCCACGTCCCGACCACCCTTCGTTCGCTGCAGTGCCCACGGACATTACGCATCACTCTGCATCAGCACTTTGCACACACTCCACTCCCCTCACTGGCACATTGCATGCATCATCAATCACATGAAATCGACCCCACCCCCTTCCCCTCGACGCTTTCACCATTTCCCCAATTCCCCATTTCCTCAACTTCCTCCCTCTCCGAACGAACTCTTTGACGCTGACTGCTCTCGCCTCTCGGTCCTCAGGTACGGGGTTTGGCTATCCAATTCGTCGTGCACTCCAAAGCGCACGCCTGCCTGCCGTATTCCGAGTTTCATGCGGTGGTTATATCAGGCTCGTGACGGCTCCAGAAGCACCGCACCTGATCGATCGGCTTGTCCAATTCTTCATGTCAATATCTGTCGTCACGACGACGGTTCGGTCGAAATCTCTCTAGAAATCAGTATCTAGAATCTTCCACGAGCCAAGAGAAAGAGCGATTCCGTCTGAGCTCTGCAAGATCAGACTTCGGGCTCTCGGAGATGCTGGAGGAACTTGCGATGGCCGTGGTCCTCTCTTGCGAGACCTGCGGATGCTACTCTAGAACTTTCTTGCGACGACTGGGGATCACAGTTGTGATGGGGGATGACGAGGTTATGTGGTTTCCCGTATGATTCGTGAGTGTCGGACCTTTACTTCTAGCTGGACGTCAGTGGGGCTCCGAAGTCCTCTCGTACTATATGTATAGGATTTGGGGGTTAAGCTCGTGTTCCATCGAGCCTCACGCGGAGAGAGCTCAGTGAACACCATCGTTGGTGCTTGTTTGTGTCATGAAGGGTGACGGTTTCTTCTACAACTGCTCATAGGTACCTGCCAAGGTTCCGAAATATTAAAACCTCCAACGAAGTGCTCGGGCCAAGAACACTAGATCACACAAGATTCTACTGGAGAACAATACAGGTACAATCAACGACAAGCGCATTTCTTGAAGAGACGGATTACTCATCGAAGTGCCACCATTACCGTCGGGAGGGAACAATGAGGTCTCTTGTGACTTTGCTTTCGAGTGCAGAAACTGTTCGCAATCTGTAGTTTTTACAATAAGTAGGGTTGCAACTCCGCGTATGTGGAGGTTCATTAGCTGGGCTCAGAGTTCAAGCGAAACTGTATCAGTTGTCCCATGCCAACTTGTTCTTGAAAGCTCAAATGACAAACCAAGTCAAAAAACTGGGGCTGGGGATGAGGTGCATTGCAGTTTGAGCGCATAATCACCAGCCTTGCTTAAGGTCTCAAACATATCTGACGGACGTGACCTGGACTGGAACGCAAGATGAATTCCAAAAGCTGTTAGTAATCAAAATGTATCAGAACTCCAACGAAAGGCTTACCTCTGAAACTGGTGGCTTGAAACTGGATATGATTGCACCGCATATACCTGAATGGACGGAGCTTTCTGTGGTGATGCATGCACATTACTTGCATTCATCACTCCTGGAGGGTGTTAACGTTGAAGAAAGGACACTGAATATCAGATCCAAACCCAACCGAACATATCTCCTTTCAGGTTCAAATTAGCTCTGGTGATCTTAATTTAGATGGCTAAGATTTCTATCAATCGGGGGACAAGAATTCAGCTCCCAGGACTAGAGCCGAAAACACTTATCTGCAGAAAGAGACCGTTATCCTTAATCATGCTCGGGTCTTACGTGTTGAAACGTCGTGTCCCATCTCGACGACCTGAAACACGCTTGTTAAATAATCCTACTGCATTTAAAAGTCCACTCGGATCCAAGACCTTCATCGTCTGGCTGAGTTGACATTAACTGTCTTGCAGCCAGCTTTTGTCTGGGTTGGTATAATCGGTAAAACTCAACAGGTATAAGAGTTCGCCAGCCAACAAAGATTCGGTAGCTATGGAGTAGAAGTATGACCCAGTTCTTCCTGTTGGTACTTGTCCAGTCAGCTTGAATTCAGAGAATTCAGCTTGAATGATAGCGTACATACAGTAAGGGAACAATCGCGAGGATTTCTACCCTTTGTTTTGAGCACTGCATGAGATTAAGTCGAGTCTCTAGTCTTGAGGATGCTCCAATAAGGAAAGTAATGAGTTTTTACATTCAGGTCCATCTCACGTCTTCCTCATAAGCAAGTAAGGAAAACAAAACAAATGAACAAGAAGCTTTGGAAACTGGCAAAAACTTATGCAAACCCGTCATGACAGCGTCAGGCATTGAAAAGTTAATGAAACGGAACCCCACCACTTCAGATAGATAGCCAAGAGAATGGTCATGCATACATTTCAAGCAAAAATTTTCGATTGTTCTTTCAGCGGGGAAACATTTATGCAATAAATGCTGAATCCATCTATAAGCCTAACGAATTTAAAGAACTCCCATGAGGCGTTTCAACAAGGGTGCTCATTCTCCTACTCACCGAGCATTATGGGCTGGCTAAAGAATGTCGTGTAAATCAATTCCAGCAGACACTACCTAAGAACTCATACCGTACACAACTCACCAAAATGGCCATACTGCCTCATGAGGTGGGAAAGACCATATTTTTGGAGATTTCTTTTACTGACTGCCTTTTCTACTGAGAGATTTATATAAGATTAATCTAAACCTGTACAAAAAATTAGTCAAGTTATTGTACAACGAAATAGAAGATATTTCCTCCTAAACAGCCCGCAAACATACTCTCTTTCGATGAGGTAGCTCACCTTGTGCATGAGCCTCCCTAAGACGTGGTGACCGTCGTGGCACACTCTCAGAAACGGGCAGCCCATCGTATTCGCCACCGCTAGGTTTTTGCTTGGCAGATCTAGTAGTCGTCCTGCTAGTCTGAGGAGAAGGCATCGAATTCAGCTCAATACGAAGTGAACCCTGCTTGATAATTGTCTTTTTTCTACCACCTCTTTTCTTCGCAGCAGGTTCTTGAGCTCCATTGTCGTCACGAGCATCTGCAGTCTTACTTACCTCCAAGGTCAAAGTAGATTCTTCAGTTGAGTAGTTGGTGGCTTGGGGAGCTGTATGGGCATCTCTGGACGTTCCCGGATCTAAAGCTACGACTGCTGGAACAGCAAAATACGACGCTCCTGGGAATAGGGCTAATGCTGGATTGTTGTTTGCAGCCACTTCTGTAGCAGCTTTAGCATAGTGCTGGCGCAGCTTGAAATGCTCCTGTTGTCTCTCTACCTCCCTCTGCAGAAGCCACTCCAACGTTTGTCGACCACCATCTGGCTGAGTCATGGAATTTTCAAGTTCCCTCTGCATCCGAGCGTCCATTTCGAAACCATCAGTGACTGTAATCCTGATCCAAATTGAAATTGTATTTTTCCTGCATTTTACTGGCACAATTAAATATTCAACCTTTGCTTTTTAGTTAAGGGAGTCGTTCTTACCTCCAGCAACCCCAGAGCCATGGCAGGGTTGGTGATTGCCCACAAAGGATCTTCGGGTAAAACCGATGGTGCATTTTCGAAAGTAATCGGGGGTACATCTTGGGGTTGCTTCAAGCTCTTGAACTGCACGAAATCAGGACAACTATTACATACTCGTCACTGAGCACATAAAACCTCTATAGTCAGATATGCATATATACTGCACTTAATATTCCTGATGTATAAAGCTCGAAGCAGAATGAGCAAATGTAATATGAGGAATTCATGAACAGCATAATCAAAGACGATAAAATTAACTTCCTCTTACTAGTATACTTCATTCGGTCTTCCGTTGGCATAACTATATCCCGTTGTAAAATGTACACTCCAAAACATATGAACTCTTCAGAGACATTCATCAATATTATTGGGAAGATATTTGATGCTTAGTAAACCTCGACCACTCGTTCTTTACTTCAATTTCCTTGTGTACGGTGAGATGCTCCGTTTGAATCTACTTGACACTTCAATTTGATTACTCCTTACATCCTCTTCATGCAAAGTTACAACAAGTTTCAAAATCACTTGAGACAAGATAGTAAAACCTACGTAAGTGTGAGCAAGAGCTTCTTCAGCTGTGCACCGACGAGCAGGATCGAAGGCAAGCATTCTTGATAAAAGATCCAACGCCTCCTCGTCAACACATCCTGTGAGTTGTGCTATCATGTTTCCAGCCTGAAATAACCATAATCCAGCCTATCATTCAGATAGCAGTTGAAAAAAGATGACCATGAATATCTACCAGATGGCAATAAGTTTATTTCAGCCTTAATCATATAAGTAGAGTGAACTTATTACCAATCAGACTTTCTCTACCGTATGGTCTCTATGTCATATCTTGCATACTCTACCAAAACTCAAAGCTTCAAAATATATTATAAGTTAGTGACTGTACGATCAGAAAGTATACCGAGCAGTAAGATTTGTGGATTCTGGAACAAAAAAGAAGAAGAAGCTATCAAAGACATAACTATCAAGAAAAAGATTGTGTATACATGATAACAACGTAAAAAATTCTCCCGTTCTATCCAACACCGCACAAACAGTTAATTCATTCAAAGAGATCTTCAAGTTAGCTTTTAAAAATCCCAGAGTGAAGAATAGCTACAGCAAACGCTTCACACCATGAAGTTCCATCTCGAGTGCTAAGATCCTGATTTAGATTTGAAGATAACGCTTACCCTTCCAGGCACTTGCTTAAGGTAAGATCGCCATGATTCACTAGGAACACTTTCAATGTCCTTCCAACAAGGGGTGCCGATAACGTCGAAGATCACATCCAACTGTACATGCGGAAAAGGTACATTCTTAGTCATAACAAGAATCACGGTAATAATCGTGATAAATCATTTAGAAATCTTGAAGATAGATAAAAAAACTGCCAACAATGCCTTCACTTCCATAACTTGACTATGTATCATGCAATCTCGAATATGCCTGAACGGGATGTCAAAGAAAAATAAAATGATCCTTCTTCACTATAATTTCAACGTCATGGCTATTTTTCAAGGAGCGATATGCTTAAAATGCACCTGTTCAGAAAGTTTTGAATTGCCATCTTCTGCATACAGTTCTCCTCCTAGAGGTGTGTTTGGTTCTCCCCTGGTAGACCAACCACTTGAGTCATCCATGCGAGCATCATACACATCAATCAGGTAAGGGAAGAAAAAAAGAAATAACGTAAGGGGCAGTTTCAGATGCAGGAGATGATGGTAGTGAATCAGACAGGCGGAAAAACAAGGTTAAATGAATAATCTGCACACACTTATTGACACCGACAGTCACAAGTTTGATCCGCATCAGAAGCTCAATTTGTGACAAAAAACTTACCTCACTCCAAACAAAGGTCTAGCAGGTGGTCCTGTCCGTTGGGGACTGACTTGTCGTACCAACAGTTCCTGCAGAGACAATGAGAAGCAGTATCCATGTTCAAATCTTGAGCAAAGGTAATATTATATTATCGAAAATATAGAACTATTCTGACGCTTTGTCGGGAGCTTAAAGAGACGTAATCACTCCATTGCTCACCCAAAAGATGCATCCAAGAGCCCATCTGCAAGATAGAATGACCCGGCGAACAACAGAATAAAATAGTTGTTAGTAAAAAAATATTGGGAATGGTTCACATGCAGTATATTATCCAGTGGGTGTACACAATCCATAAGTTGTATCAGTAGGATGCAAAATTTCTCTAACCAAATCCATGTATAGTTTCATCAGCACGATGCGGAAACTTACATATCGATGGCTGAAGTGTATTGTCCTTGGGACATGATAACCTCCGGCGCTCTATAGCTGGGTGTAACAACCTGAATGAAATCATCCATTCAACGAGGCATGGCTTGTTCAACTAGACTTCAGAAAGATTCACTTTCACGCATATTTTCTATATATGAGATAACATAAATTGGACAAGGCTAGATACAAAACCTACGCAAAGTTTAGAAGTGATAGTGCTAAGTGCTAGCATTTAACAAGGAGCAATAATAGCAAGTGGTGTAGTAAGAAAGACCTAGAGGACACAAGGCATCGTACCCAATCAATGAGTCACAACATAGAACAAGAAAGACTGCAAGCTAACTAAACTTACAGTCTTGGTGTACTGCCTGATTAAAACAGGTTTCCCGCTTTTGGAACGTCTTCCTGTTGGAATTTGTCTAGGTTCCACGGCCGCTGAGCTCTGCATTAACATGAAACTCCCAATTTCAGCTTGTGATGATGGTAGACTTGAAATGTGATAAGAGTCGTGATCGAAACAACCTAAAGACATAGAGAGCATCCGCTATCTAATCTGTTAAGCAGAAAAATTATCATCTATAAGGATACTAAGTGTTGCCCTCAACAATCCGACAGAACCAATCCAACTATTAAGAAGAAACTAAAAGAGAAATCTCAGATATCAGAACCCGCAAAAGACAGAAGGATACGAGACATATGACTCTTACAAACACACCACAGTGAACATTTCTTTGCAGCGGACCCCTGAACAAACCAATAGATCAGAAGATTACCTCAACTGCAGATCTAGAGAGACCAAAATCACATATTTTGACCCGCATTCTGGAAGTGAGCAGCACATTCTCTGACTTTATGTCTCTGTAATATGAAAATACAACAACATATGCCCATCAACCTTTGATTGTTATTCATTCCACATGAAAAACAAAGCACCTTTTTTATGGTAAGCTACAGGTGAAGGAGTGCTTCAATTTTAATAACACGCTTTACCAGATTTCAACTAGACATAAGTGTTTAGTAGTGACTAGCTAATGTGCAAAGAGCATTCTGAACAACAGATTGAATAACCAAAAATGTGTCAAGCCGGAAAGCATCTATTAAATGTTTTCCCGCGTAGTAGCTATCTCTCCATAACCTGATGAGGTCCATGACTCAACTTCCTGAAATCTAAAAAAAGAATTCTTCATATCTTCCTTGCTCTTTGAAAATTAATTCAATTGTAGCATTCTACTCTCATGTAGTCCACTTGCAGCGTTACTACTTCATCATCTCTGAATTTAAAAGATGTTTCAACTGTTGCATCTATGGTCTTCTCAGTTATGACAGAAACAATCTAACATACATGACATTCTTACCTGTGCCAAACGTGACAGGAGTGCAAGTACCGTACGCCAGATAGCAACTGCCACACTAGCAGCTTCACATCGTCCGGCAAAAGTGGATCTTTAAGGTGATACATGTCCCCGCTGCATTCATGGTAAAAATGCAATTGGTAGATTAAAACTAGATTCATTAGTATTTTTCTATCATCCTCTCTCAGCAGAACCTTATTTGCTTGGAAAAGCGAAGCAATCATTTTACAGACGAGCAGAACGTCGACAATATATGATTAAAACTGATAAATTCATATTATCAGATACAAATATATAGATTACGCATCTTGTTCCTTCCCTCAACTATACTATCGTGGACCTAAATTGCAGAAATGTCGCTTCAAATTTACAGAGATGAAGTTGCATATTGAAATGGTCAATTGGTCGCAAATAACCAAATTTTAGGCAGACAGATGTAGGGTCATACCGATCTGCATATTCAGTTGCAATGTACAGGTCTACTCCCCCGCGGATGTCCAAGCTGTCTGATGTAAAAACATTTGACACTAGAAGAATCGGAAACCAAAATCAGCGATGCAAACAAAAGGATGGAGCAAATTCCTCACAAACGTTTCATGAAATTGAGCATTGCAATCATACCATAAAAAAAGGTGGAGACTAAATTAACATGCTTCATTTTCAAGCTAAGAATAATGACGACATTGATTATCAGGTTTTACTTACAGGAGATGATATATGGATGACGCAACCGCCTCATGATACAGACTTCTCTAAGAACACGCTTTGCTAGCATGTGACAATAAAATACATCCGGAATCCTCTGAAATGACAAATCACAATTTGAATTAAGTTCGGAACAAACATGACAGTTGCTTTCTAAACATAAAAGTTGAAATAACAGAACAAGTCTAGTGAGTCTTTGAGAGAAAACATATCCTTGTCCGACCTGGATACCATACATTACAACTGTAATTTCACATCCATTACAGTTGTAATGGATGTGAAATTTGCACTGCACGTAAGAGAAGGAGAGTGACTCGTTAGACTAGATAGACAAGAACTTCAAAACACATTTCACACCTTCAGAGCAACAACTTGGTTGGTTTCGACGTCTGTCGCACGACAGACATCTCCATAAGATCCCGCACCGATGTGCTCATGTAACTTGTACCGCGTACCAACTGTTACATCTTTACACTTTGTGTTAGGAAAATGTTGAAACCCTAAACCTGGGCAGACCGAAAATTGAGATGACTGAACTCTGAACAAACTTTTTATGCTTTAACAATGCTCGCTTATTTTAGAAATTTGTATATACTGATTGAAGGTGTAAGGAGCATGGCTATTAGTCGTCCTGACTACCAAATTCGACCAAATTGGCAGCTGGCGATGACACTATTGCCAAATGAACGACATCAGAGATAAGATACAAAGTGAGAGTGTCAAACTTACCAGCCCACTTTTTTTCACAAACGGAATAGATTCCATTTGAGGCGTCAACCTCTACGACGTCCTTATACCCCATGACGCTCGATACTTACTGCAAACAATACAAATTTTCCACGATCATGGATCCAAAATTTATAAGTATTCGTAGATTATAGACAAACTAGGTTACAAAGTGATCAGGAGATTTAAATCTGAATGCTACCGCCAGTAAAGACACAACACTGTCCCGACACTGATGTTAACAGGCCTCACGTTGTGCATACAAATTTAAAAATAAAGCTCATATAGATCAACTCATAAAGACACTGATCTGGTCGTTACGGGAGGTATCTAGAATGAATCAATTCAGCTGTGGCAGGAGCCGCGGTCAAACAGAAAAGGGTGGGGACTCCTAGAACACTAAGCTCGATCAAAACATGGGTGGATTTCACAGGAAGAAGCACAAATTTCCCCCACTGACGAGAGGAATCAGTGTTGAGTCTCGGGCACCTGTAAGCATAAGGCAGACTGCCAATCTTCCTAATATTTTAAGACATCCTGCACTGTGCGCCTGGAAAAGGTCTAAAGTCAAGTCCTAAACTGACGTCCGTCAAGTGCGAAGACATGCGTCCTGATTAACATTCAAAAACTTGATCAATGGAGAAAATGATAGAAGAAGAACTAAAGTACGAGGCTATGAGGCAGATGTAACAATTGCACCTACAAAAGGAACAAACATTGTGTTGTCAACTCTCATGAAACACACGGCTTGTATCGACCGGTAAGACTGTCAACAGAAACTTTTTCGTGACAGAACCTTTGATGTCAAGAATTGACTCCTCGCATCGTCTGGATAAAAGAACAAAGCTATAAGATAGTTGTCGCAGGGGATACCGCATCTCATATCAAAAGGCAGCGCTCGCTTTAAGCAATCCACCGCTTAACCTCGACATACTTCGGAGTACAGTCTGTCATTTAAGCAAGAACATGCAAGTGTTGAACATTTCCTCTTCAGTCAGCCAGATTCCAATGGGACTTTCTTCCTTCCTGAGTTCTCTTTCCTGCCTGAGGTCTTTCATTTAAAAGAGCCCATAGAGTGCACTCAGTATCTACGGGCGAGGTGGTTGTCAGGACTCTGCACCTGCATGTACCTGTGGAAGACTAGAATTTGAGCGAGGTCAACGGTCCCCTCGCAGCGATGAAAGCAAATTTATCCTCAGCTCCAGCCCTCAGTTTGATAGAGAACACCAACCCAAAAAAATGTTTCGTGCAGTGCCAGGGGTGATATGTACACTGTCAAATCGCAAGTAATTTTCTCACATCCCTCGGCAATGCATGATGTGTCTTCTTGGGGTACGAAATCTCATTCCTCTATACAACGATCACGCCAATGAGCCCGCATGGTTCTGGGCATCGACAGACCAATTTTCATCCCAAGTCTCGATCTTCTCACCATTCCTCAGCCCGCCCTCTCTCCACAACCTGAACTTGTCTATTCGAGGCTCCAGGTCTCTGCAAATGCTTCCGTGATACAGTCAACTCCAATCGACAGAATTGACTGCGACCGATTGAAGACTAATCTACCAGAAACCGGAATGATGCTGCATCCGTGTTCCAAAAGTCCAGGGGGAGAGAGAGGGAGGGGAGAATGCAGGTCAGAGCCAGCCAACGACGCGGGGCTTGGGTTGCACGAGCTAAGAACTGGCTTTCCCTCGGCTGAAGGTCAGTTGGGTGGACCCCACTTCGGCAAAGGGGAGAACGATTTTATAGCTCCCCAGTCCCATCTCCAGGTCCTCATGTCCTTTTTGCTGACATGGCATCCTCCTGTTCGATAAATCTACGGCGGCCTTGGGCGAGAAACGAAAATGCCGGACCTCAACTCAGGCCAACCTCTCGACAATACTCCCACATCAGATTCTATCGGCCAGTTCTGAGCCAGTTGGCTACGGAGTCACAAACTAACCAGGATAAAATTCTCCACCGGGGGATCTGGTTCTCTGGTAGTTATTGAGTACTTACAGCACGCACTTTGCTAACACACGCGTCAACAAGCGTCCAGAGAACGCGCAGCCCATTGGATCCTTTAATGATAAATGGCCTCTGGACCTTGTTGGTCTTGTAGACCCCAAGGCGACCGACCGTGGAGTGCAGAATCAGCCCCGCTAAAAATGTTTACTTAATTGCTAGTGTGTCTGTTGATGGGTCTCGCAAAGCATCTAGAAAGCATTATGTTCACATCGGGGCATGTACAGTACGCACCAACAAATGTGGGCAACCTTCCTCCGCTTCTCTACCAGCGGCGCAATCTCGAGCTCGTGCATTTGGCCAGGTGGCGGGCATGCTTCTATCCAAAGGAGCTGCCAGATAGTCAGACGATTTTATCAGCCTTCGCCCTGGGCTGTCTCCAGTCTCCAAATTCCCCTATCATTCATATTCGGTATGTCTATTTGCAATTCCCCGCCAGATCCCTCGCCGTTTCTTTGGCGAGTTGTCTTTTCCCTCGGCGCTAGTTTCATCCGTGGTGCCCCCTCAGATCAGACTCTTCCGCATATAACTAAGCAGCTCGTTTGTCCGGACGGACAGCGTCTCCGCGAAAACTGGTGTTTCATGAGGTGTTTTCATGCGAGTAGATACGTATCTTGAAACAAGTACACAGCGCACTTTGGATTCAGACAAGCCGCGCCGGGCGAAACGAAAGTGATGTTCTTCGTCTCACAAGCTTCGGATCGTATTTTTCTAAACGTCGACATTGCAGCTTTGAGGTAAATTAGCCGTCGAAGAGATGAGCATGTGTATCACATGACCCGACCTCAACTTGAGTGGGAGGTCCATCGTGCACTATAGATGGAGAGCTCTATGCGCTGTAAGAGATTCTTCCGCCTCCACAGAGACCAGCCTTGAATAACCTCGGAACGACATCAGGTATGGCCTCCAACATCCGTATGCGCAAATACGGACCCTCTCGTCTCTTTGAGACACAACTTGGCAATCGGAATACAGAGTGTGATGTATTTCTCAGAAAGGCCAAACGTACAAGTCTAAAGCTGACTGTACAGCACTCTTGACCGCAAGCACACCTCTAAATGCTTTCGTATCAGCAACTCCTGCGCAACAACATCAGATCCTCTCCCGACCTTTAGACCTAAACAGGCGGAGAGGAAGAAGGCCAAATCTCCTCTTCACAGGGTAAATTCTCTCCACATTCGGGGGCTAGTAGTCCGCGACGTCAAAGCAGTCATATTCTTCCCTCTGTCCACAGGACCATGTGGAGAAACCTCCAAACAAAGCAGCACAACTTTCGCAGAACTCGGAGTCGTCACAGTGCGAACTTTTGGAAGATGATGCCAAAGCAACGTCGACTGAGAGGAATTACCGTACCCGACTACGCTCGAGCCACGGCAGTCTGGCATCTAGGAAAGATAGATTCTCATTCGCGCAGCATCAGCCAGCCTCATCACTTGGTGAAGGTCGGCGACGTCAAACGGAGTGATCACTACAAAGTCCCTCGACGCCTCCGAGGAGGAGAATCTTCCTCCGAAGCAGGAGGCCACAGCCCTCCTCCTCCTCCTCCTCCTCCGCGCTGTACCCGCGGCTCTGGCGCTTGCTTTTCCAAGCAACTCATTACAATACAGGAGCAGGATGACCTACAGTCCCGTGCGCTAGCACTCTACAGATGAGGCCCGTCACCGCAGCAGGAGAGTGACGAGGAATCTCTCGCCGGGGCCCGTAACATTTTGCGGGTGTTTCGTGTGGCGAACCGATCTCGACTCGTTCCCACGCGCACACCAAAGGCTTCTGACACTCGCGCCTCTGCCGCAGCGCAGGCGTGTCACCTCGTTCCGCCAATGGTGTGGCACCCCGGGCCCCCTCCTCCCCGCACAAGAAGCTGCTGCTGCGACCTCGAGCATTATCGCCACAACTGGTGCGCGAGAGCAACCTCGGGACCTGCTCCCGGCCCCGGAACGAACGTTCGGCTTCCCGGTCACAGGGCTCCGGGCTGGCCGCCTTTCCTCCGCGACATGACTTCCTCCCGCTCTACCAGCCCCTCCGGAGGACTTTCTCTGCCGCGCCCCCCCCCCCTTCCAGCTGGCTCTCACCACCAGACCCGTTCACCCGGCGTGCCCCGGATCCCGGGCAACGTCTCGGCTGCCGGCGATCGCCCAAAGGAGACCTCCGACAGAGCGTGGGTGGGTGGGTGGCGGTCAGAAAGAGCCCGTGGGGGTGGGGGGAGCGTCACCTCGCCCGTCGGCCACCGTCCACTATTGTGCCCTACGGGGCGGTACAGTGGGACTCGCGACGGACGGACGGACGTCGGGCGCGTCGCACGCGCTTGACCGAGCGTCCCGGTCGGACTCGCGGTCGGAAGGAGCTTCGCAGCTTTCGGCAGTGGGCTCTTCGGTCCAACCGAGTGCTCGTGACGCGATTTCCACGAAGGCCGCGGTCCAAAGCAGCGTCGCGATGTCCACGTCGCGTCGTGGACAGACCCGGGATTCGATCGATCTCACCTAATGATACAGTGCGGAGTGCCTTCAGTGCGCAGGCCCTAAGGCTCAGAGTCATGCCCTCGGAGCCTCGCTTTCCACCATTCAGAATATCTCATGCACTCACGAACGACGTCGCGAATTCCCGCTTTTGGGTCGGTCTGGATCCTCGAAATCTGAATCCTCGGTGTCTGGCCCATCCATTCATCGAATGTTCCTTCCTTTCTGCCAAGACATCCGTGACCTCGACGGAAGGTGACGCCCATTTTCCTCGATGAGTCTGATCTCCTCACGTCCCCCCGCTTGCCGGGAGAGAACGAAACAGTGGCACCCGTGTCTGGAACACTCTTCTGGTAGGCTAGCCTCTGTCCCGTCATCGTTCAGAATGGCAGTCACTAATCACTGACCGACCGACGAAGAGGAGAGGGAGAAAGTCCTCGATCAGATTTAATTCTCCTTCCTCCATCACCTGCTCACACTTGTTGTGCTTGAAACTATATACCTGCCCTTTGAAAATGTGCAACATCTTGAGTTCGGCCGAAGAGGAGAATATTTTCCCCGCCTTGCAATTAAGCAATTGACTGTATTTCAGCGGACAGCTGTGAAGAGCATGAAACCATGGAAAGTTGGTCCTCAGGGGGTGTCGTCGACCTACAAAATTCTTAAGCTTGATTGACCCAAACGAAACGAGCAGCCAGCACTTCTGTGCATATCTAGGGTGCGGTGTTCACATGTCCTGTGATTATTGCCTTATCCTTTTCGCTCTTCTCAGCACCATGCAGGGGTGATATGTTCAGATCGGGGTACCACTTTCATTTCTTATCTGTTGATTTGGCCAAACGCCTTCTCTCTTCTTTAATGGTAGCAAATAGGCGTGTGAGTGTGGCGCACTGATGAGAGCAATTCTGCATTTTTGCATATACCAGTAAGCGGTTTCACGTTGGCATATCACAAGGTACTGCTGTGTGGAGGTGGAGTGTACTGAAGAACACTTACATTAGACGGATCGATTAGCGTAGCTGTGCATCTTCTCCTTATTGCTAGAGACAAGCGTTGGTGGTCCAAGAGCGCCATCCTCGATATAACACGACGTGCAGGGTCCCACAAGTCGGTCAGATAGAATGCAATTTTCCCCAAAATTTCATACTTCGCATCACTGTAACGTCGTATGGAAGTAGTCTGGGGAGCGAAGCAGTATTGCCTTGAACTTTGAACCAACATTTCAAAACTTGATATCATGCGGAGAATTCAAGTATCCGGTCTCTGGTGTCCACTTGCACCCACGTTTGGGTGTTCATCAGTTTTCAAACCTCTCGAGACTTATGTTCATCCGAACAATGTTCACAATAGCTGGAGATAATCATAGCCTGACCAGGCCGTCAATGATTGATCCTAACCAGGCAGCCTGTTAAGGTCCCCAGAGCACGATCTCAATTCAAACCGTGGGTAACTCTCCATGCCCATCCTTCGTCGTGAAGGTTTCATTATCTAGCATGTTCTTTTCAATTCTCTTAAGTTTATCATTGATCAATCATCAGCTTCAAGCCTGATCATGTGAACTGCATGCTCATAGCTCATTGCTCATTTGGCTCACCCTAAACCCTTCCATTCTCTTCAACAGCCCCTTGAAGCTCTTGTCGTCCGATGCACTCTTGTAACAAGGCACACTGTGATATCGTACCCTATATACACTTTACTCCTGCCTTTAAGAATCACCTTCACGTACAGTATACTGCTTCAACTCTCGTCTCGGCTCACCTCCATGTCCCAACCAAGAAACTCTAAAACCTCTACAATCGCCTCTATCTTGCACGATCTCCCAAAAGGATGACTGCAATCACTAAGGTTATCCACCTACACGAACACTGGTGAACATCATTGTTGGGGTATATTGGAGCATATAAATGCCATTATGATGTGAGGAACCCTTGACCCTGGAAGTGTGAGCGTGTTAACTCGACACCCTGATAATCGTTGGTAGGTGATGTACTTCTTCCTGTACCTGAACATCTTCGTCGTTCCTGAATCTTTTTCGCAATTCTTCACTTTCAGTCCAAGTGGCATGTTCTAGAGCAAACGTGACAGAGCCTCGCAGCACTTTGTCCTCTACAATTCGTTGCTGAATGCAAAATTCCACCCCATAGTGAACATACGTAGGGCCTCGTCTTGTTTGAAAGGCCAAGCTTAAAGAGTAACCAATTCCTTTACCGTTCATCAACTTTTAGATTCTTAGCCTTGGCATGGGGTTCAGAATGTTTTAAAGTCCAGATTTCCACCCAGCTGTAATACATGCAAAAACGCGTCTCTTGGGGAAAGAAAAAAAAGGAAATTATTATATATTCCTGGACCTCCATATGGACAGTGACGAGTAGTGGGAAAGAAGAGAAAGACAAGCTTGATGAGAGCGTGTTCTTTTTAGCCTTTTGACCCTTCGGGTCCCTCGGGCTTGATTATTATCATTACCATTACCATTGTCGAAGGTTGACCTTCGTTCGGGGGTTTGGACGCTTTCCTAGTTGCGCACACAAAAGAACGACTTTTTATATGAGATGAGGTTTGAGCTAGTCGATTCGCTTGCTATCTGGCAATGTCAGGGACCAAACCAGGCGATTGTTTTGCTGTCGTATTACGGAGTAAATGAAGATAATGCAGGTCCGGTCATATTACCAAGAACAGAGTTCGAACTGGACATTCACATGATGCGCACTGCTGGACCACATGTCAGATTCTCAACTCCAGCGTCGAATAAAACTATCAAAATTTCTTTATTTTGTCGCCAGGCGAGACCAAGAACAAAGTATCAGCCGAGAAGGTGGATAGTATCTATCATGTTTAATTTTTTTTATCGATGGCCAAGAATCTGTCCCTCTCGTTAATCATTCGAGATACAAATAATAAGAATTTCCTTCTACATGGCGTTCGTCACAAAGTAATCGGTAGTACCTGCGATTACCTGATGTAGCAGCAGTGGCCTGTGGTTGGTGTAGATTGTCGGGAGCTGGAATTACGTCGTCACAATCTGCTTTCGTATATTGGAGAGCATTAGAACTGTAGGTTCGAGCGAATAAAAAACCAAAAGCGATCATCCATTTGCATGGACCTTTTGCAGAAGATGAGTCAAAGAACACAACTTCCACGACTAAATTATGGCATGTTCCAGTCCATCCACTTTCTTTATCCGGGTGCAAGTTGTCACCTTTCACTAAGCTTGACCGAGTCTCAACACCTGCCTCAAGGTTCTCAACTCAACTTCAGCTCGAACTTTCGTACGATTGAAGGCAAGGTTGTGCAAGAGCAGCTCACTTCGCTTGCAGCCGAAGACTTCGGAGAGAATGTCGGAGGCATGCTCTTTTGACTCTTCAGATTGACAGATTCGGTCTGAATGAAAGCTCGGAGATTCAGGGCGACTGTATATGACCTTGTTGTCCTTCGCGTGAACAATGAAGCCTTGCCAGTTTTACTCGTCAAATTGTAGGTAACAACTAGAACATGTTTGGAGGCACATGAAGATTTAGGTGATCATCTATGACCGATCTTCTAATGGAACACTCATGGATAGAGTTTGACTCTTCGGTCCCTTACATGTTGAGTGCAGTACAGTAATCCCAAATCCAGATTTTGATCCAATTCCAATAGTTGTAGCAAACAGGGGTTTGATTTCTATGTATCGTACTGGAAAATCTACTTGACCTGTGCCACACATCCTCTACTAGAATCCTAGTACATGTGTTTTTGAAGAATTATATTCTTAGTTCTATGCATACTCGTTTTAGGTTTTGACATATTTACTGCAAGGTCTCGCTCAAAGGGCCTCATGGGGCATCTCACACTAAGGGTCATGAAATTCCGAGTACATTATTCTTGTAGTAGTATCAACTCGACCCGGTTTGGAATTTGGTGGCGTACGATCAGAACAGGATGTTCCTCGACCCCAAAGGATCAAGCGGAGCTCCGGATGGTTTTGTCTTGTGATCCCACATGGTCTCAGTACCTTGCGAGCTTTCCAAGGAATTGTTTACGGATCAGAAGCTCCTGAAGCTTCTTGGATCAAAGCCGCCATAACTTGATGTTGAAGATGGCTCGGAAACGTCTAGGCATGGAGTCAAGAATTTCCCCCCAAGAGTCTTTGACCATAAACAGGCATGGGAACTAGAGGAATACCTCCTAGTCATATCCATACCTTGAGATAGATTATAATGTTAGCATTTCCTTTTTAAACTAACGTTTGATGTCGCTTATTAAATCAGAGGTGTTTGTGGCATAGCTCATGTGATAGCTCTTGTGTGTGGCCAGGGACTTCGAGTTTTTTGTGAGAAACGCTCGTACTTTGAAAGAAAAAATGGAAAAATACTGCTGTATACGGTCATAAGTAGGTGGCATTTTATATGTTGTTGAATAATGATGCACACCTCAGAAGATACAATTACTGTTCATGTGGAAACCGAGCTTGTAATCTATGCCCGTGATCAATTTTCACATTTATCTACTACTAGTAAATTGCATCACAATTCTGGGACTAAATGTAGTCCATTCTTAAGAATCAAATATGGTATGATCACCCATTTCATGCATAGAAACTTCAAGTTGTTGGCTTGACATAATCGACACCTAAGTGAGTATGACTTCATATATTAACTGGCAGTAACTGAGTTTAGAAAATGTTAATTAAACGAAGTATTGAGATTATAATTGTTCTAAAATTAATAGTTTTCCAGTATCATTATGTTCTACATTTTTATTTTTATCCTTGACTGTATCTTCTTGTTGATTTGAAGTTTATGTCAATTAGTGTAGATGGTATTGAAATTTCAACGAAATATAATTAAAAGAAATTAATGAACTACTTAAAACCATAAATTCTAGCAAGAAGGAGTTTCTTATTGCTGTAAACATGAGCAGTAAGTGAAATACTTTAAAATATAAAAAAACTATACAAATATTCCTTCAATTTCTAATATCTATCTGAACATTTTATTGGAATTTTTTTAAATATTTATACTTACAGAATATGCAAGTATATTATACTTCATATTATTTTTTCTTAAATGAATCTGAAAGAAATGATTATTTTATCAAGATAAATATAAAGTAATATATGTTAATAGACACATAGTAAGGATTTTTATTAAATAAAAGAAGAAAATTCCTGAAAGTTTTATGAATATTCAAATTTTATACTAATAAAATGATTCAGTAAAAAAATAATATTTTAAATAATTTTTTTAAACAACCTCAAAGAAAATCAATTACAGAATCTTAATCATGTTAGTTATCTTTC